GTGCAGACAGCACTGGTGGCCCAGCTGCAGGCTGAGCCCTGAATATAGGCTCTGCTCCTCACATCCACAGCCCGTGGTCAGCGGCCACATGAAGCCAGGTGTCCTGCACTCAGTGCACACCTGGCGAGGGGAGGCCAGCAGCATGGCCCACACTGGCTGGCTGACTGGTATTTGCGGCAGGTAGCCCAACACCAATCTTCTAGTGAGTTCAGTTTGAATTCTGGGGCTACCCCAGGGGCCAGCTTTGGTCCACCACTAGAAGCTGTCATTATAGTGACTTTCACACTAATCTGAGGACAGAACCCTTTAACCCTTCGCTGGGAGTCTCCCACAGCAGACCTGCTGCCTCTTGCTCTTCTGAGCACTTGCAGGAAGAAAGGTCTGGAATGATTGGTAAACACCCTGGAAGCACAGGCCTGGAAATCAATTGAGGGACGCTCCAGACATGACTAGAGCAGAAAACGCTGATCTTCTGGGTTCTTCTGCTTCTCCGTTTGCAGAGCTCCCAGCTCACACAGAGTCGAGGAGACTCGCGGGGAGCGTCAGAGCCAGTGGCTCCGTGAACACATCAGGGGCCCCGTGTGATTCCGGCGCTTCCGGAAGCGTAGCGATCCGTGGCTCTCACACTCCTGCACACATTGGTCCTCTCAGAGGGCAACTCGGGCTGGTCCCAGCAGAATCCCGACTAAATGGACAGATTTAATAGTTTTAAATCTGCTTCCTCTTTAGATATGTCTTCTCACTCTATGATTTAATTGAATAAAATTTAGAGACATTCCATTTTCATTTTAATTGGTTCACAAAATCARAGTTCTATTTTTCATTAATAACTGCTCAAATCCAAGGGAAGGAAAAACAGGCAGCCCAAATGCGTATTACTGACTTCCTGCGTAACTGTGTACGAACACAGCAAAGTCAATGCCTCCTCTTCAGGACTTTGTGTTTCATGGTCTCTTTCAACTAGCAATGATGTAGCCCAACAACTTTTAATCATAAAAAATGAGTTTAAACATAGTTTTAAGATTGCCATTTTATTCAGCCTGAAACGCGGCCCAACTGAAAGAAGTATGTGCACCTCCTCCACCCAATTGCCAGGTCTCTCAGGCCAGCCCTGGAGAGCACAGTATCTGACCACGTGGCTGAAGAACTAAGGTCCTGGGTAAACGCGGACAGTGTCGAGGCACAGCCACCAGCTCCTCCCTGGAGCGCGGTATCCGCACACGGGTCGTCTGTCAGCCCCTGCCATGTGCAGACCGACACTTCCAGGAGCAGCACTCAGCGGCTCCAGCTGTCCTGTGGGGGAACTGGATYGGGCTCTTCAGAAACTGGCCCCTCCAGCACATCAGGATCTCGGTGGCCAGAAACTTTTCCTCTGTCTGAGCCYGTGGGAGCAGGGCCCGGCTGAGCAGTGGAGCTGATGGGCTGCAGGAGTGGAGAGACCCGGGCCGGGTCCCCCTGCTCCAGTGCTCTGCAGGGGACTGCTCCTACTGGGAGGGCTTCTTTTCTGAGGAGAGACCTACAAAAAACAGCAGGCAAACGTTTCAGGTTAAACATTAAAATCACATGGCCCCCCTCTGGCTTCGGGCCAGCATGCATTTCCAGGATGGCCAGAGAGAGAGGGAGAGGGACGGAGACTCCATTCCTGAGCTCCTGTGCACACTGGGATTCCAGGCAGGTGCCAGCTGCCTTCTTTGGCACTGGCACATGTTCACGGGTTGTGACATTGGGTGGCYCAGCTCATGCCTAAGGAGGAATGTTCTGACGTCCTCCGGCGGTGGCTTGGGCATTTCCCTAGGAAAGCGAGTCATTTCTCTTGCTGCTCGAGTCGGGTCATGCCCCAGAGAAAGATCACTCTCGACAAAGGAAGGTATGTGGGTGGGTGAAGTGGCCTGGGAGAGTGGGGCCCTGGCTCCCCGGGAAAGCCCCGGAGATGCAGGCGGTGCTGAAGAGGCACTGGGCTTCAGGAAGAGACACGGAGACCTGGTCAGGGTCAGGGAGACAGTCGGGACCCTGCAGAGGAGCCAACAGATACCCAGGGCCAGTGGCCATGTGAAGACCAGGGCAGAGGTTGGAGCTCTGCTGCCACAACCGTGGAACACCTGGGCCACCAGGAGCAGAGACAGAGGTGACTGTCGACGTGTCTCTACAGTGTGGTAAAACCCACACGCAGTAACTGAGCTCAGCCGGGAACTGTGACCAGAGGACCATGCCACGTGGTACTCAACACTCCTCCCTCAGCCTGGCCAGGGACCCTCAGTGGACTCTGCCCCCTCAGGGACCCTGCCCTGCCCTCTTCCAGCCACAGGGTCTGCACATGCCCGCGTCCTGTCTCTAGAAGGAGCTCTGGCATCCCTGCGGACCCTGAAGCACCTGCCCAAGGGGCCCTGGGTGCCAGGGGAGCTCCTTGTAGCTGGTGAGGGGCACAGAGAGGAGGCTGGGCTGTGCAGCTGGGCTGTCCTCAAGTCCACGCTCAAGAGCCCGCGTGGTGGGAAGGAGGGACAGAGCAGCGGGCCCAGGCAGGAGGCCAAGCTCAGGTGTCCTGGGCCACCAGGTTCCGGCAGAGCTGAAACCAAGCATTCTAAATGGTCTCTGGGCAACTCCAGGTACTTTCAAGGTAGGAGGAAGGACTGTGCTCTACAGTTTCTAAACTTGATTCATGATCAGGCCTCTCCATCTGTCCCTGCACCAGGCCCAGGAAGGCTAGAAGAGGTTCCAATGGTACTGCAGAAATCAGCAGGGATACCCACTGTCCCTTTAAAAATGCACAGAGCTTCCTCTATCCCATTCCACGTAAAGAAAACAGCCACTGTTTTAGGTGGTCGTAAGAGAAGTAATAATGGAAGATACTAGGATAAAAATATAACGGGAAGCATTTCCTGGAGATGAGAAAGTAAACCCGCCAGTGGTCAGATAGTGAAAGGAAACAGAAGCGGGTGTCCTTTAAGCACAGCACACTTGTTAAGAAGGAGCGCTGCGGGCTGCGTGGACAGCCAGAGGCCTGGGGTGTGAACTGCAGGTGCCCRCCCGGGGCTGGCTCACCGTTGTCCTCGTGCTGCCCGTCTGGCGGAAGCAGGTCCAGAGCGTACCTCGGAGGGCCCGGCTGCGAGGAGCGACAGAACATTGTTACAGCAACGGGACTTCAGCAGCACCCAGGATGCTGTGCCTGTCCAGCAGGCCCACCCGCGTGGTCCCCCCAGACCTGTGGCCCTGGTGCCGCACCCGGCCCCTCCCTCCCCTGCCCACTGGTTCTGCCCCTCCTGATTCCGCTCTGCATTTGGCCAGAATTTCTCTGACTCTGGGGTTTTCCTCTTTTGCTGGGGAACAGCTGAGTCTTGGATCTCTGCAGAAGTGAGCACTTTGGCAGAACTCACCGGAGCCCATAAACAAACAACGTGATTCACCATCAACAAATGCTCTTTTTAAAACCCGCACATTGGGAGCAATGAGAGGGCCAGGAATAAAAACACAAGTTTAAAGTTGTCAGTGGCTCAAGGCAGAGCTCCCAGGTGCTATGGAGGGCAGAGCCGAAGAGCCCAGGACGGTGGAGTGCGCAGGCCTCTCCCTCTGCACGGGTGCCCCCAGGAGTCGTTCTCTACGTCCTCAGGGTTTAGACCAAAGACGTGAGACGCTTCTCTTGGAATTCTCGCCTAGGTTCTCACCAGGGAGAGCGGCTAGATATCAGGGACACATCAAACAAATCAACTGAAGGAACAAAAAGCCATGGACCTGGTGGACCGTGGTAGTTCCAAGGCCACCAACTCGTTCCCAGCCCTGGGAACGGAAGGCTGGGCTTCACCTGCCCAGCCTGTGTTCCTGCTCCCAACACTCTCCCACCTCCGACACCCGGGGCACAAGAGACCACGGCTGAGCTCCAGTTGTTTAGTTATCTGCTAAAAATAACTTAATGGGAACTTTTTAACGGTCCCCAGTGGGGGCCATTCACAGGCTGCCAGTCCACTGAAGGTGGCCTGAGACTTCAGCTAAGGGACCCCACCGCCGGGCCTGGCCTGCTTCACCTGCTGCCCCACCTGGCCCGGTGCCTCTGGCCCAGGAACGAGATCACCTCTGTCTTTGATCCCTCACTTACTCTTGGACTCTCAGAACAGGATCAGGGTTAGTGACATGTTCCCCGTTTTACACGCCCGGCAAGGTGCCCCAAGAAGGTAGACGCGCAACCCCACCACAGCCAGGCCCGTGCTCAGCGCAGCTCACAGTGAGCGGACAGGGGTACTCCTTTACAATCAAYGGGGTCCCTCGTGCGGAGAGCTGTTCGGTGGAACACTGCTTGACGGGAAGGCGTCACACAGGATCCTGTCCCCACAAGAGCTGGGCCTGCTGCTCTGCCTGCCTCTTCTGACCRACGGGGGCGTCTGGGAGCCTCAGCTTTCTTTCCATTAAGGGGGGTGGGACAGAAGCCCGTCTCTGCCCCCAGGTCAACGTCMGGACCCTGGGTGCTACAGTTAGTCCGTCTGTCACGAGGACATTCCCGACCCCTACAGGTTCCGTCTCCTTCTGGTCCCACAGTCGGGGTCACTTCTACATCCCTGACAGGACGTGATCAGGAACAAGCGCTGAGGACGGACAAATGAAGAGAACAGGACGGGGACAGGCAGTGGACAGAAGCAGCCGCGGCCCCCACGGGCAAAGCACCAGGTTCCCCTCAGGCTGCACCACGCCAGGCCACTGAGGGAGAGGTGCTCTGAGCCCTGACGTCTGCCCACCCCCAGGGGTCGCAGTCTCACCCCCTGGGAGAGGACGGCAGGACCCTTTCAGGAAGGCGGGGAACGTGCCTTTGGTAAGGGCTGTGCTGAGAAAATGCCAACAAGAAGCCCCAGACTTTGGCATAATTAGAAACAGAGCTGATCAGAGCCAAGGGGTGGGGGAGTGTCTGGGCACACAGAGAGCAGGGCAGGAGGCTGCCTTCCTGGACGGAGGCTCTGTGAGGAGAGCAGAGGCTGGCCTCCCTTCAGGGCAGTGAGCACCGCTCCAAGAACCAGGGGCCACTGCATCTGGCTCACTCAGGTGGACCGTGCCGATCAACTCCACCCAGGTCCACTTCATCTTGCCGGGCACACACGGCCACGGGGGACAACTGACGTGGGTCACCTCTTCCTGGATCTTCAAGAAAATCCCCCCACAGGAAAACGTCAAAACCATCTGCACGTAGGTGGTGACAGCCACCGTAGCTCAACACGAGTTGGAAGCTGTCCCTCTGTTTTCTTTCTTCAGTTTTTGCTCCTGTTTTCACTTTGCGATTCTTTATACATAGAAGCCCCCTGCGGCGTTGGGTAGGTGGTTGAAAGTGGCCCCTATAACAGGCTGTTTGCTCAAGGAATTGTGGCTCAGTTGGAAATCTTGTGATTACTCTTTCATATCTATGTGTCCTGGGGATTCAGAGCCCAAAGAATCACTTCTGTGTCCATGCCCCTCTGGACCTTGGCCAGTGGAGGCTGAGGTGCAGTAGAGCCGCCCTCTGCAGGAGACACACTGTGCCCCAATTCCAGAGACACACCTGGTCTCTACCAGCAGAGGACGCCGACGCGATCTGTTGAAATGGGACCTCTTACTTACCGGGTGCTCCCACTGGTCCTGCGTGGCGCGTGGGCCTGCTGGCACCCCCRGGTCCCGCAGGTGGAAAGCCAAGCCACAGGTGCAGGCCGGGAAATGCATCTGGGGAGACAAAGCCGTTGGTCCACTGGGAGGGTGGAATGGGACGGGAACACGTGCTCTCTACAACAGGGATGGTCAGTCTTAAGGTGCAGCCCCTTCTGGCATAATTAAGACCCAGAGCAGGAGGTAGATAGGACTTGGGACTCACAGGACAAGGCTCCTCGCTGGCTAAGTCTTCCCCGAGGTGACACTACAATTACTCTTCCATCTCAGAGAAATCAGAAGCCCTGAGGAAGCGCACACAGGGGACGCTGCTTCTGGGTGGTCTTCACAGAGACCTCGGTGAAGCCCAGCCCGCCCTGACCCGGGGAGAAGGTCCCTCAACTGCAGGCGGCGTCAGGAACTGAGCGGAAAAGAGTCAGTGTGGAAGGCTCCTAGAGCGTGGGCACAGAAGGACTCAGGCCCAGGACGACCTCCCTGTCTAGAGAGAACAAAAGCCTTTGTATTTCAGGTTTCCCACCACAAGAGGCGTGAGCAACTGCAGGAGAGGCCCCCAGCACGGTTTCCCAGGTGCGGTGGGTCTGGGGAGGGGTCCTTGTTCTAACAGAAACACATGGAGGCTGGCCCTGCTGGTGACGGAGGCTGGCACTGCTGGTGACAGAGGCTGGCCCTGCTGGTGACAGAGGCTGGCCCTGCTGGTGACAGAGGCTGGCACTACTGGTAATGGAGGCTGGCTCTACTGGTGACAGAGGTTGGCACTATTGGTGACAGAGGCTGGCACTATTGGTAATGGAGACTGGCACTACGGGTGACAGAGGCTGGCACTATTGGTGACGGAGGCTGGCACTCCAGGTGACTGAGGCTGGCACTATTGGTGACGGAGGCTGGCACTCCAGGTGACTGAGGCTGGGCACTMTTGGTGACGGAGGCTGGCACTATGGGTAATGGAGGCTGGCCCTACTGGTGACAGAGGCTGTCCCTATGGGTGACCGAGGCTGGCCCTACRGGTGACCGAGGCTGGCCYTACGGGTGATGTGCTCTGAGAAGCATCTTTTTCAGGAATGCTGGGCTGAAAGGCTGCTGGTCCCTGCGCACTGTCCACCCATGGGCAAGCCCGGCTGCACCCAGGAGTAACTGAGTGGAACTGAAAGTCACCATTTCACTGCTCCCAGGGCAGGGCAGCAGCCACATACCTGTTTCAGTTGTTTTTCTAGTTTTTCTTTCTCCATCTGACAAACTTTGATCTACAGAGAAAACACAGGCAGTTGATTATCAGCAGGAGCTCGAGCCTCAGGGGAACCTGGGGCGGGCCAGTGCAGGGCCCAGGGAGCGGCTGAGCAGCAAAGAGCTGTGCGTGGGTTTCAGGCGTGCGTCTCCTCTGTCCTGAAATCCCCCAGGGGGAAGCTGGGGGGTTCTTCAGTGTTTTCGAGTTGGTTGAGGCCACCTTGTTCTCAGTCTCGGCTGACCTGTGCAGACCTAGATGTAGCAGCGTCTGGCTCACTGAATGAAATTGGCACTGTTCAGCCGGCATTCGGGGGCCTGGCTCCTGCCCCACACAGCCTCTGCACCCTGGTGGCTGGCTCCAGACCCCTCGGTGGCAGCCGGGGAGCACTCTGGTATGTGGCCAGTGCCTGAAGGATTTGATCTGAGGTCTCTGTTTAAAGTCCTACTCAGATCACATCCTACTCAGCCAAGGTTTCCCTTCATTGCACTGCGGCATTTAACCTGCARCCGATCCACTTAACATCGTCCTCAAATCCTTCCCTGTGCCTTACTGAGTTCTATCATTGTTGAACCACAGTGAACGAGACTTTTTATTTCTTGTACCGGGGATGTAACCCAGGAGTGAGGTTACCATTGAGCTACATCCCCAACCCTTTTTATTTTTTATTTGAGACAGGGTCTCACTAAATTGCTGAGACTGGCTGCAAACTTGGAATCTTCCTGCCTCAGCCTCAYCACCACACCTGGATGAATGAGACTTAAAAAAAAAAGAAAAGATTGGGCTATCATTATTTTAAAAGAAAAATTTGATAGTTTTAATGTATCAGTTTCAAGATTGTTCCTTAGCTTATGAACACAATTATATCATACTACTTGGACAATATATTTATTTTGCTGATGCTGGTCAAAATTGCTTTTTATAGATGCACAGGCACCAGAACTGCGTGTGGACTATGTTCTAAAACGTTAAGTAGGTGGAGTATGTTCTAAAATGTTAAGTAGGTGGACTATGTTCCTGGTTGAACTGAAAGTTATAAAATGGAAAGCTCATTGCCCATCTTAGGCACCAATTTATTGCCAGTCTGAACTTTTTGGGGTTTGGTGCAGAGGAATAACTCTGAACTTAATAAAGTAGAATAAATAAAATCGTAATATACCAGGAATAAAGCAATTTGTGCACTAACAAAGAAATCAAGGGGGCTTTGTTTGTAAGAAATAAAGATTGAAAGAGGAATTCTTCACCCAGTACAATCAGGACTTCTTCACCCACTGTTGTATAAATTATTTGTTAGGTTTCATGGATTACTTTCAGAAAATTAAATAATTATACTTTTAATCCTACTAATTCCCTTTATAATTCCTTTATTTCATTCCTTTTAATTTTTTTTAGGAAATGGTTCTACCAAATAATTTACCACATAAAATTAAGAATTTCAAGTTAATCCTTGAAATTCTATGAGAGAAGAAATCAGATGTCGTTCACTGTCCACGTGGCATTGGGCAGAAGAGGACCACTGAGGGCTGGGACGGGCAGTCCGGCAGCTGGCAGGCCTGCCCCATTTCCCCTTTCCTGAAACCCCGGCAGGGTTTTGCAAATCCAAAGCATGTGGTCATTTCAAAATCTCGTTGGCTACACTCTCCCTCCTTAACATCATGCTCACCCTCCCGGCAATGACCGAGTTCTCTTTTTCTCCTGTTACACCTGATTTTAGTTCACTTACAGTCAATACAGTCTAGTCCATAAATGGCTTCCTGGAAAGGGCTCTAGTCACATGYCCCCTGGGGCCCAGTGACCAGGGCCCTGGGTCTCCGAAGACATGTGCACGGCATGTTTTAGAGGGCAGGGACATTCCAACACCGCCCTTCAAAGAAAGYGACAGGAATTTAGAAACCACTTCACTCTATTTGAGTAGAAGGTAGTTCAACTCCCATTCTCCCAAGGTAAATATTACGGGGAAAAGATCACAAGAACTGTATTTTATAAAAGACTTTGGAATCCCGTTTCTGGGGTCATTCCTCAACATACTCAAGTTAAAAGAAATCTCAGGCATTTTCATCTGCTTGCAAGGTCGTGGAGAGTGACTTCATCCCAGGTGGGGCCTCTCAAGAACCCCTTGTCAACCGACAGAATTCAAAAGGCTTGGATACTTTTTAAATGAGAAAATAAAAATGGAACATGTGTGCTTGGCACAGGCCCCGCTGGGTGTGTACCTGGGAACTCAGCCGGGTCAGCTGGGCGCGGGAAGCCTGATGAGCGCGCTGCAGCTCTTCTTTCTCTCGACTGAGCCTTTCCCGATCGGATCGCTCCCTTCTGAAGTCTTCTTCATAGATTTGTACCTGAAAGACAGACACGTGGGTGCTGTGACGGTCATTCTTTTGTGCTCTTGGGCCATCCAAGCCATCTCCTCCCAGGTGCCTCCTGGGCTTCTGCAGTGGGGCACGCCCACCCTCTGCTCCTGAGCCCTCTTCAGGGTGGGGTGGGGAAAGGCACAGGGCCGCAATTCATCCTCCACTCCTAGAGTGGAAGTCCTCGGATTTTTCCTTCTTGGGTGTGCATCAAGAATTCAGAAGGGACAAAGTGTAAATTCCTTAAAACTCCTGTGCCCACACTTCTGCCAGGTGCTCTGCTGTGCTGGAGGCCTGGCTGGCCCTAAGTGTCACCACTGGAGCCAGCCAACGCCCGCACAGGGCTCAGCCTGAGGTTCTCAAAGTCAGTTTGCTGACCAGGGCTGTTGAGTGAAGCCACTAAGGACTGACATGCCAACAGTGAGCACAGAARCAAAGGCGGACAAATGTGGAAAGTGTGACTGTTGAGAGGCAGCCTCAAGGTTCGTCCTGGTCAGCAGTTTTAGAGGTAGATGATAAAAAAGAAATATGTAAGATTTTATTGCAACACTTCATAAGAGATATTCCAAATATTCCAGAAAAGTAATCAAACAAATGAATTAATCCTTTTTTTAAAAACTGGYGTGATGTTGTCTGGTAGTTTGGAGACAAACATGTGAGGCTATAAAAATAAATGAAAGGTAGAGAATGAAGCAAAAGAATTCTTCTAAGACTGAGGTTTAAATCACTTCTACATGGAAACCTCTGAGCTGGACACGGCACCTTCAGATTCCAACCAGAGGTGCAGCCATCGAAAGSAGTCAGATGAAATCCAGCAGGCAGGAGGGGAGATCCGCACTGCACGTAGGTTTTGGTGGAGATGCATATGCATATGCAGACACACACACACGTGCACACACATGCACAYACACGTGTGTACATATGCACACACACGCACACATGTATACATGCAAATATACACAGCACACAATATATACATGCACATACAGCATGCACACACACATACATGTATGCATACACATGCAAATATAGACACACAGACACACATGTATACATGCACTCACATATGCCATGCATACACACAAACATGCACATAGATAACATTTGTGTGTACATGCATGTACATATATACAGGCAAACACATATATGTGTACATAAGTGCACACACCACACATAACATACACATGTGCTTACATGTACACGTGCACACATGCAAAATGCAGACACAAACAATACGCATGTACACACATGCAAGCATATACACACAGGCACAAGCATGTRTGCACAGAAAAAACTGCACACACATGTACACATACATATATGCACACATGCRCACACACATATATAGCATGCACACACACATGCACATGTGTACATACATGCACACACAAATATTTACACATAGATTTCATTTTCAAATCCTTATTCATCAGCCCCATGGCAAGGAAACTACATCCAGCCAAGCGAMATTTTTATTTATCTTTTAGTCCAGAGCTGAGGCTCAGTTCCAGGCAGACAGAGCAGTGACTGGGGTGTTTTGAACRGGAGAAGCCCGTGTAAAGAGAACTGGACATTCTAGCTAGCCGTGCCGTCGCTTCGGTCCTCACTCAGATCCTCTGTGGATCTGAAACCGCCACTGCCCCGTGTGGCGCTTGGTGGGGTTACAGTCATAGGTGCTGGCTCAGAAGTGGGTTTGGTCAAAATGTCTGTGCAGGACATCACACTCTCCCCAGGGCCAAGGCAGGGATGGGCGTCCCTCCACTGCTCAGCGCACATGAAAAGAACACCTGTCAGGCCTGCACCCACACTGGCTGACCCCACTGCAGCCCACGTGCCAGGTGCCCTCTGGCCTGCAGTGTGCTTAGTCGGTGAGCTCCAGGATGGTCCAGGCCTGAACACAGGCAGTACCTGCCCYGGAATCCTGCCTGGGCTGCCACCTGGACAGGACTTCAACAAACTGAATGTCACCCTCGCTTTCTATGGATCAATTTTTAAGCCATATGCATGATCCCGAGTRTAACAGGCAGATTATCCTATGAGGTCATCTGGAAAGAGAAGACCCATCTTTCCACCAAGAGCTCTGGATTTTACACCCAGCTACTCCTTTCAGGTAATGACGGTGAGTGAATATCAGTAACCCCATGGCTCAGCTTTCCCACGTGGGCACACTGAGACTCCTTGTAATTGGCACATACTCAGAGCAAACTGGTCAATGAACATGTCCAGGGGCCTCAAAAAGATAGAACTAATTTCCAGCCCTTCACCCCATGCCTAAGTCTCCYCCTGCTAATAGGTTCYTGAGGCAYGAGCTGGGATTCCGGMGAGTCCCCTTACTCACTGCTACTTMGCCTCTCACAGGAGGAGAAACTTGACAGGCCCAGCTGGCCCTTCAGCCAGGCGGACACTAGCCTGCTGGACTGAGCTCAGACACACGCAGCTTGGGCAGTGCTGCCTCCCCCAGGCTGGGCTGCCACCGCCCTCRAGGGCATCCTTGCTCTCGCCGTCCACGTGGCCGCAGTGAGGGAGAGGAGTGGCTGGGGGCACCAGCCCTGTGTAGGGCAGCAGACCTGACTCTTCTGTGACTACAACCAGAACCACGGATTCTTTGAAAACTGCCCGTGATGTCCAAGGGCAGGAGGCCAGGAGCTGCAGGACCATAGCCTGGCGGCTCCCATTTTCTGCAAAGGTGAGATCTTGGGTGAGCAGTGTTTCCAGAATCAGCCACGCCTGCAGGGAACTCCGTGAACCCGGGGCTCACAGAATCTCCATCGTCTCTTCACGGTGTGACCTTGGGTGACCCGTAACCCACAGAGACTTGGTTCCCACTTTATGAACCACGGTGTGACCCAGCTGAACTCCATTCTGCCTGGAAACTTTGAAACCAGTGATTCTAATTAAAGCCAGTGTGAGAATGGGTGGCCACTGTGAACAGCAGGAGTGCACTGGCCACAGGCCCTGCCTGGCCCCAGGACTGTCCGCTCCGACCTCTCACCTGCTGCTTGAGAACTTCCACTTCCGTTCTCGTGGCCGCGTGGCTGCACTCCACAGGGCACATGCCCCGCTGGTCCCCAGGAGACGACRCGCCCTCGATTTTCAAGGCGTCCTGAAGAACCTGTGGCGAGGCAAGCACACAGCTGGTGAGCCTGGCAGCCTGGGCGTCCCGAGGTCCGCGTCCCTCCACGCCCCCAGCAGCCCTCCTCCCCCTGCGGCTTCCCCTTCTGATTTCTGCCCACGGGTCCGTGGTCAGAGCCTGCCTGCTCCCCAGGAAAGCCGCTGCTGGCCGTCCGCCCCTTGCTGCTTGGGGGTCCTCAGTGGTGGGCCCCTCGCCCTGGCCAACTACGAATAGAAGACTTGTCTATAGCCTTTCTGCCAACTCTCGGCCTCAGTCACCGTGTACCCCGTCCCTGGTGCTCGAAGCTCMGGAGCCAGAGGTGGCCAGACAGGCCCAGCCCCGAGCCCTGCCTAGAGATTCTGAATCGGGAGCCCAGAGCCCAGAATCTGCACTTCTCAAAAGCTGGTGTGGCTCATCCCAGGTGACGTTCGGGGGGACATTCTTCTTGTAACCGTCTCATGTCCCCAACAAGAGAAGGAACCCCCAGGGAAGGCAGCCCCTGCGGACGGATTCGCAGCCCCTGCAGCCCCCTGGCCCAGCCTGGCCACAGGCGGGTTCACTGTCAGAACTGCTGAGGCGCCCCGGGGAGGGGGTGAGAACTGCTGAGGTGGCCCCGCTGTGTCCCACCCCCACCGCGCCCTCGCTCCCCAGCCAGGGTGGTGCGCCTCTCACGGGTCACAGGGAGGTRTCCCCTCCAAGCTTGACGGCCCGAGGTTCACACGGAGATGAGTTCCCAGGACTGTGACAGAACAGGCCTCTCCTCGAGGCCCTCAGGACACACCACTGGTCACTGTCCTCCACACAAGGGCGCTCCCACCCACAGGGTCGCAAAACCAGCAAAGGAAGGGCAAGCCTGTGGCCTCGCGTCCCCTGTCCAGCCCGAGTTCCCAACAGAACGTCTCAGTAGCTCAGACGCCATCCAGCCTGACTCGAACCTGGCTTTTCAGGAAGTTCTAAGAGAAACAAGAACTGCTCTTCTTCTCAGGGAAGAAGTTGCGGAAACAACCAGTTCTCCAGTAATTTATGTTTTGTCAGGTTTTTGTGTGTGCGCTGGGCATCAGACTCTATCCCAAGCTGCACCCCCAGCCCCGTCAGGGTCTGTATAAAACACGTAGTTCTGGGGGATTTCAGAATAAGTCGACCTGCTAAGTGACATGGAAGGTAGCACACAAACTCCGGAGTGCCGGACGCCCTGTGACAGCGGCAGCCAACAGGACCGCCACCGTCCACCCGACTGGGTRCCTGGCAGACCTCGTTGTTTGAATTCCCAGGTTTTCCTACCTTTCATGCTACTTGGGATTTTAGAAATTTTGAAATGAGTCATAAATGAAAGGTGAGTCCAGGAGACATATATGCCATCTTGGGTTTTCMGGCTTCCTCGAATAAACCCCACCACCTATTCTGGGACAGGTGCTTACTCTCAGTACTGAGGTGCCTGGAAACCTGCCCACCCCAATGGCGAGACCAGGGATGGGTCAATGAGCCCGCAGGTGGCCCTGGACGACCAGCTTCAGCAGGGCTTCTCACTCCCTCTGGTTGTCCCTGACCCCCCTGTAGGAACTTGGTAAGGACAAAGCCCTGGGGTATTCAAAGCGAGTCACCTGAATTGAGTACCCACAGTGAAGGAACTTCTGACAGCCCTGTGAGTGGCTCAGGTGACCTGTCACCAGCGTCTGCCGAGTGGGGGCAAGTCATGAAACAGRGAGACCCCGGCTCCACTGAGACGGTCCTTGGTCCCCCCAATCAACATGTCCAGTGGCTTCTACTTCCCCTACTTCCCGTAGTAGGAAAAAAAAAAAGACCCATTGTAAAATGGAATAACATAAAGTCCTACATTTCATTTGCCCCGACACTTGTGCCAAGTGAGAAGAAATCTCCCCAAGACCATCACTTTGTGCAAGTGGTGCTCCAGGCACAGAGGTGCACAAGGACATCTTTTCTGGCTTTAAGGACCCTTCACTTTTCCTCACTGCMCATGAGTAAGGTATTGTACATCACATTGCTGTATTATGCTTACTAAATGGTGAATCTCAGGTCCAAAACTGACTATTGAATACGTCACGTTCTAGCGAGTTAAATCTGTTGATCCATCCATTCACKCATTCGCCACTCGGCACATACTTTAAGAGGTTTCTGGGGGCAAGGCCTGTCCTTGGCACTCGGGTCGTGGCAGAGACCAAAGGGTCCCGCCTGACTGCCATCTTGGGGAGCCCCCTCCTCAGAAATGCACTCTGAGACAGTACTCACAACCGCACTGTGGGAGAGATGGGTGTATTACTGTCTGAGGCAAGTTTTCACCTGAAAGTTGACTTTTTCTTGTGATTTTAGGCGAAATGAGATGTACACGTGGGCCTCTAGGAGTGTGTGKCTCTGCCGCTGTGCCTGCTGTGCCAACGGATGGATGTCCAGCCTGCAGGAATTCTACCCCTGCTGAGCTCATGCTCCAGAGCGGCAGGCRGAGCAGACGCGGGGACACAGAGGCAGCGCGAGCTGTGCCAGGCAGCAGCAGGCTCCAGGACAAGGCCATGTGCCCCCTGGGAAACTCCTAGCACAGCCGAAAGGTCCCCGAGGAGGTGACACTTGTACAAAGACATGAGTCTGACTCAGATTAAATTTTCTTGTTGAGAACCTATGATTATAACCACCAAAATTACCAAACCACTAATTTTCTAATTTTTWAAAAAAGTCCTGCTAGCTATAAATACAGATTAAAAAATGAAGTGCAACACATAAACATGAGCAAAAGAGCAGGATTCTCAGTGGCTTCAAGATCTAAGGTGTTTATTTCCCTGTGCCCAGTTTATGTTTACCTTCAAATGAAAATTTCCCTGAAATTTATATGTTTCTCTTCCCCCAGGAAATTAAGAATTGGTGCATGGAACACACACACACACACACATACACACATTCACTCTCCTCCTCATCCTTTGAGCAATGCACAACTGCTCCTTTGAAGACTAAGATGGAGCTCGGGTACTGGATCCCTGGCATTTTCTAGGCAGCCCTGACTTCTGCCCTTCCTCTGTGAGAGGTGAGTTGGGCCTTAACCTTGCTATTGACCTTGGGCTTGGCATTCAGCTTACTTCCACGCATGCACCAGGCTGAACTCCACAGCATCTGTCTTAAAGACCCGCCCACTTCCTCAGGAAGCTCCTGTGGTTGCTGAGAGGTGAGTGTTCACAAGCATGCACCTGCTTTATGTGGCTCTGCAGACTGAAGGAGGAAGGAGGAGGAGGAGGAGGAGGAAAGAAAGATGTGTGTGTGTTCTCACTGCCTSTGCAGTTTCTCATTCTCTTGCCATGCCCTCTGCAGAGACACAGAATCCCAAAGCCTCCTGACCAGGTGGGGCTGAGCCACAGCTGTGCTGGTAAAGCTGGTGTGCCCTGTACCCAACCGAGGCGGGGGCCATGTGGCAGCTGGATACGACCAGTATTGGACACTGTCAGTGTCAGTAGCAGGACTGTGCCCGCCCCCCAGGGAGCTCTGGCCTCCACCTTGGGACCTGCTCGGTACCTTGTTAAGGCGTTGTATTTCACATTCATAATGCTCTTTCTTCTTCATCGCAAGAACATTTTTTTCCTTCAAAAGCTTATTCTCTTTCTTCAGTTCCTGTAATTCTTCGTTTAGAGTTTCCCTTTCCTTTGAAAAGAAAGAACAAGGACTTCAGAACACAATCAAAGTCAGCAGGGAGGATAGTGCAGGGCCCTGTACCTCAGCTGCCCGTGGCAGACAGAGGGCTTCCCTCCTGGAGAAGTGCAGAGAGACCGTGATATTGCCTTTTAGCATCTCCTTCAAGCAGTGCCCTTGGATTGAGGACAGCAGCATCAGGACTGAAGATAATTTTTCTTTATCAAAACTTAGTGCTACTTCTTAGAAGTTTGGTGACCCCAGAAAAAGACATCAAAATCCCCAATCTTCACTTTTCTTGGTCAGATAAATGAGTCTGAAGAATCATCTAGTTCCCATTACTAAGTGATGGATAAGGGACTCAGTAAAAACATTCACAATTCTAAAAAAAAAAAAAAAATCATGCAACAAAACAATATCAAGTATCTCAAAGCCCAGTCCTGAACCAGGCTGCAGCAAAGAGCAGGAAAAGCCAGGGATTCAGGCAAATAGGACCCTTTGCTCAGAGCACCTGTGCCACTGTTGGTTTAAAAGGCAGAGATCATAGCATCCGAGTGTGGTCACAAACCACGTTTTAGACCATCACCTGGAAGCATATTGTTAGAAATAACTGAAGATTCACTTTCAAGGCATTAATGGGCTCTGGACTTAAACAATGTCACCTATTTCTTAACTCTACACAGTGAATAGTAAGCCTGGTTTGAAGGAAATTGGCTGAGAATAAATAAATATTGCACAATATAGGTATCTCAGGATGAGAAAATAGGAAATATATGTGCCAAAATGTGTGATTTTAGTCATCGGTGTTTCCCAATGCAAATCTTAAATTTAAGAAATATACTTTAGGAAATTCATTTTCTTTAAAAGTGAAAGTATTTCTACTTGATTTTATTTAAATAGAATGGGCCAATATACTTGGAAAATGAACCAATCAAGAGAAAATTAWTTTAACTAGAAAATGGTCGAAACTCCAGAGGCAAAAACTGCTAAGATTCCTGGTGAGGTGTCATTGGCAAAGGAAGCCACCCACAGGGGGGAAGAGGAACTGCCAGCCCACTGCCCGGGGGCATGCGGCAGGGGTCTCAGCCAGGTGGGCAAGGCCAGGAAAGAGGCCAGGGCCCTGGTGTGACCGTGACTTCCCTGCAATATCTGCACTGCTGTTTTTTCGTAGTATACCTAAAAGGAGAAGCTTAGAATTTAAGATCCTCCTCTCATCCTCTTAGTACCCACTAAGTCCAGTGACTGTAAGAAAAAGCAGGAAGAAACAGAGTCTGCTTTAGGAGGAACCGCCCTCTGGCCTGAGGCCTRGCACCCTCAGCAGGACCCAGGGAGCCCAGATCCTAGCCTGGGACCATTGCTGCAGGCGCAGCCTCAGCCGAGAAGGCGGCAGAGCCTCTGGTCCCTGCTCCATCTGGCTCCTTGCTGTCTTCCTTTGTGCTCCTGGGAAGGGAACCTGCCGCCGCAGGCTGGGTGCCGGCCACACGGGGCCAGCTTTCTCGTGGTCAGTGTGGCAAAACAACGGTGAGAATGTTCAGGGAGACGTGAGGGCGAAGCGCGGTGGAAACGCCCTGTACTCTGCTGGGCGACCAGAGGAATGCCCACTTGCGACACCGAGAACCAAGTGCGGCGTGTGGCCTTGGCGCTCCTCTCCGGCCATAACAAGCAGAGCCCGGGGACCAGGGCCAAGATGTTCCTGTCCACGGCCTTGGAGACGCGCAACCGCGCCCGCGCCGCGGTGCTGGAGCCCGGGGTCCACCCGACGCAGACCCCGCGGGCGCCCACCTCTTCCCGCCGCGGGCCCCGGGCGGCGCCACCCGCGCTCTGGCTCCGCCGCTCGCWCTCCAGCTCGCCCAGGGCGCCCTCGGCCGCGCGCAGCCGGGTCCTCAGCTCCGCCACCTGCGGAAGGAACCGGCAGTTTCAGACCCGTCTCCAGCACCCAAGCCCGGCACCCGACTGTGCGCTCTGCTCRGGGACGCGAGCGCCCCTCCTCAGCGCGCCCCTCCCGGGCAGGGCAGCAGGAGGCCTGCATTTTAGAAAGAGCTTGGCCAACCCGAAAGCCAGCACCGGCCTGGCCCCGCGGCCGCCAGCTCTTCCCTCCTTCCTGCAGTCCTACCGCTGCCACCCACAGGCGGTGGGAGCATTACCTTGCACCTTATGAATTTAACAGCTCTGGGTATAAAAAGGGGGAAGAGAGTAAGTAGCAAGGTGGTTGTGGTCTAGTTTCTTAATTCCGAATTATTTAGGGGATTTACTTTCTCTTTCTGAAGATTGAGTGGCTTTCAAATTACAAATTGATTTAAAGGAGATTTTCTCCAAAAAGTTGCTTTCTCACCAAAGCCAAAGCTTCTCAACAGCACAGTGGCTTACAGGGAAGGGGAAAGAATTAGAGGCTGGTCTTGCAGAGCACAGCGTGGATTTTAGATGTCCCCAACAGACACCACAGCGTGGATTTTAGATGTCCCCAACAGACACCACGGCCTGCAGAGGCACTGAGGGCTGCTAGTGACCCCGCTGGGAAGCGGGACACATAAGCACACTCTGGGGACAGCACTAGAGGTGGTTTGCAGCCCATTTTTCAGCGCTGCCCAAGGTGCTCCACCACAGTGCTCATTCCTCTTCAGTACCAAGAGGCCAGAGGTGCACCCAGCACCCTCTCYCCTCCGGCTTCCACTGCTGCCTTCCACAGAGGCCTTCACAGCCGCAATCCTGAGCCTCCACGTGGCTGACCCCGACCAGGTTAAGGAGACGCAGAGAGCCAGACAGGGTGCTTACCTTTCTTTCATACAACTCCTTCATGCTTCTAAACTGTTGGTCCCACTGCTGATTGACTTGCAGGAGCTGAAATTATTAAAACCTAGTGAGTCAACAAAGGATTTCTACCCCTTTGCAAATTTGGGCCACCCTAGAATCACTTTTTGAGGTTTCAGAGAGTGGAAAGCAAAAGTGAACAGAGTAACTCCTTCCAGAGAGTTCTCTGTGGGCTGGAGGCCCTGCTGCTCACTCTCACCTGTTCCTAACTGGTTCACGCAGGGAGCCCATTAAGTCTGGGTGTATCCCATCCAGCCCGCTAAACAAACTGTCTCATGTGAACTTTCATCTTCTTTGTTTAATTCGATCAGAATCTAATAAAAAATGGGATGTTGGTGGTTTTCTATAAGATCTACTAATGTGTRAAGGGTCTTTTTATGTATAGACACTGATTATTACAGTGAATTATTTTTCTTGCTTTAAAAAAGTTTATATTGAAGTCTGTACCATTAAATAATAATCATTTGTTTGCAATAGTATTCTTTAAAAGAATAACACATCATTTGTGATACATAATCATTGAATGGATACTATCACATTTTCAAAAGTATAGATTTTTCAAGGAATAAGTTTTGCTGTAAGACAATTTTAGAAAACTCTTTAAAGGTTTTAAACCTCTGTGCTAATTAGAAGACAACACTGTGAGGTGTGTTTTAGTTTCCTTGTAGGGAAATTTGCAATCTGCAGCACTTATCAATATGAGAAGATAGTCACAAATGACAAATGGAAATAGCAAATCTGTCACCTAGGACAAAACAAAATACCGAACCCAGAATGGCAGTTCTTAGATAACTCTTTTGGTGGAGATAGATATGCTATTTAGTTCAGTTCTATGTAATATTGACTAAAGATGCCTGCTTTGTTAACTTTTTATGGACCAGCGTTCCTGTGCTGTAACTGCATTAATCTGCTATAGGTCAGGAATTTTCTATGTGGTGTCAAAGAGGAGTAGATGGTGCTATAGAAGAGACAGTGGATTAGGAGAGGAACCGCCAGGTCGGCCACAGAGGGAGCACTACAGTTGTGACACCGTTCACCTCCTCCTCCGTCAAGAAGAGTAAAGAGGTTCAATGCTCACTGAACTCAGGAAATAAAATCCAGAGGATTAACAATATCTATTCATCCCCACTAACATTTAAGGAATGAATTYTCTAACGTCAGTGCTCCCAGACCCCTAGTGTTGAGACGCCCAATTCACAAAGTCACACCTTCTCAATCAACTGCACTGAAACCCTTCACATTGGGAGTTTCAAGGTGTGCCTCTTGTGTGACACAGGTGATGAGTTCACATGGGGCACATGGAGGAAGCAGCTGAAGTAGGGGGAATTAGGATTGTGAATGCCAAATGAGTTTATGAGCCTGTCATTTTTTTCATTAGGCATTACGTAAATATTGATAAAACTGTTTTCTTTCAGTATGATGCAGTGCAGTATCAGAGAGATGAACACCATCACTTAGCAAAGATAAAAGACAAAGATGCTTGTTCTCAGCACTGACCCATCCCGACGACGTCTTTAACTAATACAAGTTACCTCTTTTCTCTGTTTCTCTAAGCACCTTATCTTTTGTTCAAGAGGATCTGTCAAATTCTTTCTTCTTGATGATTGAGCACTCTTGGGGGGAAAAAAAAAGGATTGAGGTAAAACCATTTGCAAAGTAAATAGGAGAAATACTGTCCTTCACAAACACCTGCGTTTAACCAACTCTTATATTGTGATTTATAAAAACACTGGACTCTGGAGCTGAGCGGCAGCTCAGTGGCAGGATGCATCAGCACCACAGACAAAAACAGAAACCCTCTCCCACGGTTCCTTCATAAGGACTTGTCCGGGCACAGCTTCCCATTATGAACAAGATCCCCTCACAGGAATTGGTAACCAAAATATCCCAACAAATCACAAATGTACCCATATAATGGGCAAACCGGAAGTTAGAACCTCTTAAATTCCAATTTGAATCCCTTTCCAAAAAAATAAGAGTAGAGCGACTTACAGAAATGGGGGCAGTTTCAGGATACGTAAACATACGATACATAGTAAACATTTCTCCAGAGTCATTTTCAGTCCTGCCCATGAACATATCACCAGCAAATTCTAAAGAGTGTCTCTGTCAAAAGTCAGAGGGGGCATAGGACCACCAAGAATGAAGACCACAGTGGTCCCTGGAGCACAGCGGCTGAAGCCCAGACCCCAGGACTCAACCCCAGGACAGTGGATACCAGCACGTCAGAGTCGGGGGCACAGAGATTGTCCGGCACTGTGTAACACTAACCAGCTCTTGGAATAAAAGTCTTAGAGTACAAGTTTGGACTGACAATAAATTATTAGCTTAATGGCTTAATGGAAATGTTAATCATATTTTGGGTTTTTTTTGGGGGGGTGGCTATGTTTGTCAAGAATGGGAATATTCATTTAAAGAAAGCACAGAAGTCCCTGCAGCTGCCTGTCATTGGGCTAAATTGTCACTTGCATAAAGGACTGGTTTCTGTGCTGTAACCAAAGAGTCCTTTAGGTCACAGAAGCCGGAGGGTGATGATGATCTGCGTTCAGCCCCTTACTATCAGGGACTGTGGACCAGGGAACTGCTCGAGGCTCTGCATGAACAGTTAAGAATATTTTCAAAACATGTTGATCTTTGCCAGAAAGATCAGAGGAAACAGTTCTTCTGCCATCATCATGGGATTTTGAGGGCTCTTTCATGAGAAACCATTTATAAAGCTGCATTTCCCWGTACTTCCTTACTTCTGACTTGTACTTTAAGGTTTGAGGGAGTACACCTGTGTAGCTGCTGCTCTTTGCTTTACCTCCTTCTTTCTATTTAGACCTGTGTTGTGACTAAGGCCACATTTTAACAGTGAGCTTCTGTGTAAACTTGCTGTTAACCACAAGAAACTGGTTTGGCTGATCACCAAGAGGGACGTGGAAATCCAGGTAACCAGCATGTTGGTTCCTGTGAGTGACCTTCTCCTTGGGGAGAAGACTTTTAAGAAACGAGATTAGAACTGACTGACCCACTAAGCATCTTGGATCTGGCATGTGCTGAGAGCCAGCCCTACTTGGTGTGGGCTGAGCTGAGCACCCAGTGGTGCAGCAACAGGGAGCAAGTCCAGGTCCCCTGACACAGAGTGCCCCGGACACTGGGTTGAGACTTCTGAAATGGTGTCTCTGTGCCTAACCAACGTCCTCAGTCGTCATGGTTCCTAGTAAGTCAATATCCTGCCATCCCCGCTCACACTCGGAAATGTCAATCTGGGGTCCTCGAAAAGCCCTCCTTGCACTTGTGAGGTGGAAAAAACTCTGTGACCATAAAACATCTGTAGGCTCTTGCCTTCTGGGAGTGCAGATGTGGACAACTCGGCAGTGGGCTGATTTGTTTCCCTAAATAATTTTTTTCTGGAAAAAATTATAAAACACTCTGACCTTKATTCTTATTTTATAAATAAGATACAGATACTGGATTTTCAAAGGGGTCTATCTGGAGCTGGAGGAGCRCTGATTTCTGAGACTCAGCAGTGGTCTTTGTAATTGGGGAAATAGGGAGGGGGGAGGAGAAGACCCTGGGCTTGTCAGCCACAGCTGTATCTCCAGGGCTTTCTCTGAAGATCAGTCTAAATTTTGCCATGGCTTAGATGACTCAAGTGTGTATTAAAATATGGCAAAATCAACCAAATACTAAAATTTGGGGGAAATTTCACTTGGATTTGCTTTGCTTTTCAGTTGCTAAAAAGGCATCTGATATTGCAATAAGTGCAAAGATTTCTAATGACTGAGTTCTAGTACAGAAAAAATGTCCCCCATATGCAATAATTCCCTGTAAGTACTTCCTACAGAGCACGATCTATATTCACAGTGTCTRGGCATTTCTTTCTCTACCATAATACCCATGCCAACTTGTAGATATTAAAATTTCAGCACCACCACTTAGATATCTAAATGAAATATGTGGTCAGTTTCTCATTATACCTTGGTTATCTTTTATTAAGAAACTAAGAAAGCACCTCCATTCATTCACTGTCCATTACCCTCGAGGCCAAGCCATCCCCAGAAGCGTGTTCTTACCTCTGCTTGGTCCGCGGAACTGTCCACAGTGCTCATTCCAGCTGTGCCCTGGACAAAATGTGCCACAGAAGCTGTTTTCCTGGGAGTCTTGGGAAGCAGAAAGAAGAGCGGGRGAGTCTCGTATGGTGTGTTCAGGGTAAGACCAAAATGCAGAATTGGCAAAGCACACCCCACCACTAACTCGTGATAGAAAAATCACAATGATCGTTTGCCATTAAAAACAAAGGGAGGTGACTCTGCCTGTGAATGACTCGGAATAAGGCTTATAAGCGCAGAAACCCGGACTTTAACTCTCCTCTTCCAGAGAGGGATTTCCCAGGATGTCTCAAGCGGCAGGCTGTGACTAAGCCGGCAGAGCAGCCTTGCCTGGGTATGTAAATCGTCCTTCTTCCTTTACTGGCAGTTTCTCCCACTGGAGGAGGAAGTTCCCACTGCAGAAAGCCTGGGCCCGGGGGAGCCCTTCCTCAGTGGTCCAAGTGCCATGGACTCCGTGTGTCTCCCAGAGCAGGGAGGRACCACTCCATGTTCCCTGCAGGCATGGTCTCTGGCATGGGGTGTAGCTGTGGAACCCAGGCGTCACACAGGACGCTCCAAGTGCCACTGATTCTTACAGAACTAAAAGAAAATACTTCATTTCAAAGAAAAATGGGCCTTGTTTGCAAATCGAATCTACATTTGGCAGAAGGTCAACCTTGGTTCTCAGACTGGCCGTCCTTTCCACAGGTCAGGGGGGACTGTCACCAGGCACCTGAAATGGCATCTTTTTGCTCTGATGTTCTGCTTTAGTGAGGGGACTCCTGCCACTTTGCAGCGGAGCTCGAGACGGGTACCGCAGGAAAACCTGGGGTGGGAGGTGCTACACCAGTGGACCAAGGCTCCGGGGCTTGCTGGTCGGTGGCACAGGAGGCCAGGTGTACAAACAAGGGAATAAGGGGCTCTGAAGGGACCCAGGAGCGACCAGCCGGCTCCCAGCCTGACGGGCTGTTCGGGCTGCCGTGAGGTCTTCAGGTTCACAGAGGACGAGGAACTCCCCAGGAGGCGAGGGGCTGCAGGCCTGGCCTCCCTCCCACTGTCCTGCGCTCCCCTGTGCTCCTGCCCAGCCACAGATGAACACAGACACACAGACACACACACACACACACACATCCTCCCTGGGCCCTGGCACGTGCGGCTCGGCCCCCAGCCCTTTGCCAGGCCGCCCTCCCACCTGGACCTCGGCTTGGGTTCCCCCACCCGAGGGAGTGCACAGCCAGCATGGCAATGTTCATTCCCTGTCCCCCCGGCCACCTGTCCCAGCACTGCGCAGGGCCACCTTCAGCACTGTGCTGAATGAGGGGCCTCGGGACCCAGCTGTGCCTCGCTCCACGTTCAGGGACTCACCGCTGGTCTTTGGTCTGTTTACAAGATGGGCAGGAGTGAGAGGGAGTGGGCTGGCCCGAAGCAGTGTCCACAGATGCAGGTGGGACTCACTGTCCACTCAGAGCTCTGAAAGCCCACTGACCACCAACACACTGACCTCAGGGCAGGGGAAGAGGCCTCTGGAGGCCACTCTGTGCCAACAGAGGTTCTTTCTCCAGGAGGGGAAATGCTGTGGTAAAGCAAGTTTCCTCCAAAACACTCACAGACACACACACACACACACACACACACACACACACACACATAGACCCAACACACAGACACACAGACACATGCAGACCCGACACACAGACACAGATAAACACAGACATCCACACACACACACATAGATCCAACCCACAGACACATGCAGACAGAACTCACAGACACACAGACACATGCAGATACATAAACAGACATAGACACACACACACACACACACACGCACACACACAGACCCAACACAGAGATACACAGATAAACACAGATATAAATACATAGGCACAAATGCATTGACACAGATAAACACACACACACATAAACACACACACATAGACCCAACACAMACAGGAAAACACACAGAGGTAGATACATACACAGACACACATGGACACACACATAGACCCAATATACACAGACACAGAGATAGGCACACACAGACACACATGGACCCACACAGACCCACACACAGACACATGGGAACACACAGACTCACATGGACACACAAGAGCACACAGGACGAAGGCACAGAGTCGTCTATAAAGTCCTAGGTTCCCTCCCTCCTCTTCTCTATCGGTCACAGTAACCCAGGGGTTTACAGGGCGGTTTCTCGCAGCACCATCCCTTGCACCAGCCTCTCAGGGTCCCCCGATGGCCCTCCACTAGGCTGTGGCCTCTGTGAAGCACAAACCCGCACTTTTGCATCTCGGTCACCGTCTGCTGGGGGTAACAGCCAACGGCCCCTAGAGCCCTGCAGGTTCACGCCATKCTCTGGAGAGCTGCAGCTCAGCTGGGCACAGTGGAGCTCCCGCAGACCTGCCAGGAGCGACGGGCACCTGTGGCACGTGCCCGGCTCCCCCTGCCCGGCTCACCCTGCCCGGCTCACCCTGCCCGGCTCACCCCCGCCCACACAGGTGCCCTGCTCTGGGGAGTCTGCTCAGCTTCAGGAGAAGTCTCAGTGAGAGAACTGTGTCCCCGCTTCCAAGGCTGCTCTGATGACCCCTCATCTCCTGTGTGACTAGAGGGACAAAACCAACAAGAGGGACACAAGAAGGAGCTACTGCCATCCCTCTGCAGCTGTCACCTGAGTGCACTCTGCCACTGGTGACGCGAGGGCCTGGGGCTCAGCCTCCGCCCAGCCCTCCTCCCCGGGCTGCCCTCCCTGGCCACACAGGTCAGCACTAGGACCAGCAGCTTGACCTGACCTAGGAACACTCCCTGAGTCACACGACAGAGGGAAGGGACTGGCCCAAACCCACACGTCAGTCACAGCGCTCGGCACGGAGCACATCCCAAACCAAGCAGAGACCCTGCTTCCAGTGATGTGTACAGGGGTGTGAGCACACACACACACACACACACACACACGTTCACATATACACGTACACACGTTAAATGTACACACATCTACACGTACACATGCACACACACACTCTTAAACCCAGTTTCATATGTCCACGCAGATGTGTGCAGGTGTGCACAGTGTGTGTACACACAGGCATCTGTGAAAAGCTGGGATGCAAAGAGAAGCCGGGGAATAATGGTGAGGACACCAAAGCCCCTGGGAGCGTGAGGAGGCTTTCCCAGCCGGGGAGCGGGCATCTGCTGGGCCTCGAGGGGTGGCAGGGCTCTGCACCTCACCAGAGCAGAGGGGGCAAGGCTGAGGCCCCGGGTGACAGCGCGCCCATTTACCTGGAGCAGGTTCATGGGGCATCCGAGGAGGACGGGAAGGAGGTCACGACGGGTCTCCTTAGGGGACCCTGAGGACCCTGGGGCACAGCAGACTTGTGACGAGTGGCTTTTCAGGACCAGCAGGCCTGAGATGCGTGGTGCCTGTGACACGGGAAGGCCCGCCAGAGCGAGCCAGGGAACAGACTAGCAAGGTTACCCTGGGCAAGGACCATGCCTGCCACCGTGTCCACCAGGCCCGGGTGGGCAGGGCGGCCCCAGAGCCCCCTTAGTTGCCGGCTCGTCCTCTCTGTGGGGACCTCAGAGCCCTGCCCCTCCAGCTGCAGGAAGCCTGTTTCCTGATCTCCCCACACAACCTTCTTCCCCATGGGAAGGAACACGTCTCACTTCCCAGAACACCAAGCCTGGAGTTGTCTTTCAGCCACCTTGTACATCAAAGTCTGTGCCCAGTTTATCTGCACACTCTGCAGGCTCTGTCCACCACGGCCTCAGGAACCAGAGACTCCGGGCCTCCTGCCATGCGGGGCAGGTGAGATGACAGGCCTTTTATCACTGGTTCAGCATGAGGGCTGTCCTGTTGGCTTCCGGGTCTTATCCAGCAGGAGCTTTCTTAGGAGCATGTCCAGCAGTGACTGATGTCTGGTTGTGTCTGGCTGGCCTCTCTGGAAGGCCAACAAGCCTTTTCTGCTAGCCAGACACTCAGGTACCCCAAGGGCTCTCCTGGCCCAGCCACAATCAGTACAGGGTGAGGCTTTCAAATGTCCTTTCCTGTCCCTCCTCTGCTGAGACCGGCCGGTGGCTGTCCATCTCACCCAGAGCCAAGGCAGACTCTTCCCAGTGGTCAAGGGGCCCCGCGGCTGGCTGAGCCTCTGACCTCTCCCGCCTCCTTCTTTTTGCTCACACTGCTTCACCTCCGGCTGCGCTGCAGGCCCTTGAGCCCCTCTCCTGCCCAGGAGGCTTCTCCCCAATGTCCACACAGCTCATCCCCCACAGGGAGCCACAGTGTGGACCTCGCTGTCCTCCTGTTGGACGCCACTCCCTGCCCAGCGCTGCAGCCACCTCCCCTGGTCGTTCCCCCAGCGCTGCAWACCACAGAGCACATGTTCCCCACCTCTGCGGAGTGGACGCCACCAGACAGCTCTGTGCCCCTGCTGCCTTTGTGCTGCCTCAGGTGACAGGGCTGGACACTGCAGGCCTCCCTCCCTCGGGAACAGACCATGGTGTAAGCAGGAGACTGCGGGAGACCTAGGGCAAAGCCTCTCTGCTTTCGATGAACAAATCACCTTTCTTTGCTCCTGGAACCTGGTCTTGGATTAGGGAGATGGGATGGATTATCAAGTTMTTATTTTGATGAAAAATGGTTAATTTAGGTTTAARAGCAGGGAAAAGAAAAGAGAAACTTGGTACATTTTTTCAACAATGTGGTTACAGAAAAGCGTGTGTTGCCTTCCCATAGTTTGCAGTTTCCCTGGTACCCTCTGGGCACGCCGGCCGGGCACTCTGAACTACTGAAGCACTTCCTCTAGGCCCCGGGAGAGCGGGGCTGTCCAGACGGAGGTTCGCATCCACCCAACATCCTCCCCAGCCCAATCCAAAGGTACTCAAAGCCGATATCTGCCTCCAAGTCAAAACCCCAAAGAAGACAGGAAGGGAGGGAGGGAGGGAGGGGGGGGAGGAAGAATGGGGGAGGGAGGGAGGGGAAGAATGGGGGAGGGAGGGAGGGAGAGGAAGAATGGGGGAGGGAGGGAGGGAGAGAGAAAGGAGAAAAGGAAAGACAGGGAGAAAGAGTCCAAAGGCAGACCAGATTCTCAGACAACTCCACTCGGTTGGTTCTCCTTAACCCGGGGCACCTCACGCCCGCTCCAGGTTGGCGGTTTCCCGGCACTGGYGGAAACGGCCGTCAGGAGAAGGCTTCAAGACGCTGTCCTGGCTTCTCACGGAGGGCACCTGCAGGCCGGTGTGTCAGTTTGCCACGGCATCARGATGTGTCTCGCTGGGTGTGGTGTCCACCCGTCGTACACTCCGCGACCTTTTTTCCCCTTTTACCTCACTGAGGGCAGCTGATCAAGGGCGGTGGCTGGCCGTGCGTTTGGCCTCAGCASGGCTGCGAGTAGTGGACTTGAGGGTGGCCAGGAGAAGGTGGAGATGGGCGGAGCAGAGCACAGGTGCTTTGACACAGAGACCACGCTGCCAGTTCCTGAGACTCCGTCAGAAAGCATATTTAGAGCACTTATTTGTAAACTAGTCGCCCCAACTTGGGGGCATTTGTCACTCTCGATTGTTCTTTAATTATACAAACGGATGTGTCTTGGGGATGGGGATGGCTGAGAATAGGATGCATAAAATTTACTATTTTGGCARTAAAATCGTATCTTTAAAATAACATCAGGCCGGGTGTGGTGGTGCACCCCTGTAATCCAGCAGCTCAGGAAGATCACGAGTTCAAAGCCAGTCTTGGCAAAAGCAAGGTGCTCATAGACCCCGTCTCTAAATAAAATACAAAATAGGGTTGCAGATGCGGCTCAGGGGCTGAGTGCCCCCCAGTTCAATCCCTGGCACCCMAAAMAAAAAASAAATGACGTCAGGACAGAATTCCACGAACAGGCTCCAGCCCAGGGGTCCTAGCCCTTCACCACCAAGCGCCACTTGGAGTCTTCCTGCTCTCCGCCCGGGAGCCCTGTTTTACGACAGCCATTGCTCTCTAAAGAGGACTTCATCCACCTGTGTCCTCACGATTCCTCCACTGAYGTGCATTCTGGATCCTAACTGTCCACGTCTGCGAAGGACACCATGAAGTCACACCTATGTCCCTGCAGGTAACTTGAGGAGCAGTACTCCTGCACTCAGGCTGCAGAGCCGACGGTCCCTCTGAACTCTATCAGAGACCCACCATCCTCCAGATTCAGGCCACACCCTCAGGAACGGATTAGAGCCTTCCGTCAAGGAGAACCACCCACTTTTCTTTTCTTTTGTCCCTCTTCCTCTTTGTCACCAGGCCTATTTTTAATACATTTGGCAATCTCAACACCAACGCACCGAGGCAGCTGCTTTTCCTCAGCCACCGAGACGCGGGTGACCTCTGTGCACTGACCTCCTGCGGCTGCTGGCTACACACCCCATGCGCTTGGGTGCGGGTGGACTTTCTCCCGTTCATCGGGAACGCTGCTCATTTCCTCGAAGCCATGAGTCACCCGGCTTCCTTCTCGGTTCTGATTCCCCCTCTCCACTCCTTCTTGGCAACGCTGGTTAGTGGAAAGGGAACTCCACACGGCTCAGGCCCCTTCATCAAATCATTTCTCCATTCCGCTACCCSCTTCCCATCTCGTGGAGCCATGAAGAAACCGATTCCCAGCTCCTGAAAAGGAGTCTGCCTCCCACTCCGACGCTGACTCCATTCAGTGGGAAAGCGGAGGAGCCCTCCACCGTCCCTAACCGCCATCGGCTCTCTCTTGTTTCACCCTAACAGGGATCTTCTTGCACCTGTTTCGGTTCTATCAGGATCTCCGCGAGAGTGTGAAGGTTTGCTCTGTCCTGAGCGTAGCACTCCCCTGCACAGAGGGTTGCTGTGCAACTGGCAGCGCAGCAGATTCCAGCAGGCAAAGCAGGGTTTGCTCTGGATTCAAATAYGTGGAGACATCGTGGGAGGRAGACTGAGGAAGGTGCTGGAGGGAKGGTGGGAGGGAGGKCGCAGACTCCAGGAAGACAGGCAGGCCACGGTGGCTGGATCGAGTGTGGTGTGTTAGGCCTGGGTGGGGTCCACTCTGATGACAGCATCCTCTGCATCTGCTTGAGCTCTGGCCCAGCTCCCAGATGGCCCTGATGTGAGGGAAGCAGGAAKTGCGGGGCGATGCTTCCACTTGGTCCCATTTGAGGTCCAGAATCTCCATCCTATCAGCCCATGAGGAGATATCTCAACCTCCTGGAACCTGAGCTTCCCATCTGCAGGGGGTCAGGGTTGAACAGCTGGACGTAGAGGAATGTTCTGCAGGATGCTGGCCCAGAGTGGGCACCGAACAGCAGCAGCTAAAGCCCCTGTGATGGGAGACCAAGAGGAGGTGACGCGTCCTTCAGCAGAYACTGGGACTCCAAGGTGCACGCAGGGAATGAGTATCTATTCCAGGGCAGGGAGCACCCGTGTGTGGTGACTTGGGGGCTCAGGAGGACATATCTCACCCAGGCAGGGTTGGCACAGCCGGGGCACCCACCAGTGCTCCGGAGCTTGGCACAAATCTCATCTGCAGGCAGCAATGACCAGTGAGCCTCCGAACCCCTGGCAGTCAGTGACTTCACAGAAAAGACCACACAGTGGCCTCCAGCCGAGAGTTAGCGGTGGGTCTCTGAGTCCCTGTTCCTGCCACTTCCCTGGCAGACTCCGAGCACACTAGGGGAATTCTAGGGGCGAATTGATGGCACGTCTAGCTTGACCGTGGCTCTCGAAGTCAAGCTAGTGGTTTACTATTGTTGTCTTCCAAATCTGCCATGGAACTCAGTGCCTTCAGGGAGCAGACAGGTCCTCCCCCAGGGCCCAGGGCCAGTGGGGAAGACAGGTTCACCATGTCGGGCCTCAGCCTGCGTCCCAGGACGTGGACAGGGCCTGAGCCCTCCAAGGGAGCAGGCAGGTGACCAGAGGGGCGAGTGGGCAGGAGAGGCCAGAGGGGACAGGGTGTTTGGGGATCTGCACGGCCCGTGCCGGTGAGCAGGGTTTTGGAGCAGGTTGAGTCAGTAGGTGGTGGCACGTGCACAGGAGGAGACGAGTGAGATGGAGGTGCCAGGCCACTGCGCCTCGGGTCGGGGTTACAGCCCTGTGATGGCGGGGAGTGCCCCACACGGCCCGGGAGGTGACGTGGTCTCTCTGGGGCTCAGTGGACCGTCAAGCACAACGTTGACTGGCAGGTGATGGAGAGGCTAAGGCCCAGGCCCTGGTGTGGCTGGCGACTGGCTGTAAGGGGTGTGTCCCACCTCAGCCCAGGGCCCCTGCCACCTGAGGCTCCCGTGGTCCACCCCCTCCCCGCCTCCCCAGGCCCCTTCCAGCTCCCTGAGTCTCCTTAGCCASGGCTCAGCGCTCACCCTGGGGAGGAGGACGGAGGACGGGAAACACCAGCTGACGGTGGTGGGAACAGCCCGCCCTGCGCCTCGAGGTGTGGMGACGCCGGGTCTGGGAGGGAGACGCCTCTCCATGAAGCCCCAGAAGCAGAAGGGACGCATGAGCGTGAGGCTGGCAAAGAGCGTGCAGAGAGGTGTCACCGGTAAGGAAGTTCCAGCTGGAGAGTCCTGAGGGCGGGAGGCTGTCGGGGCAYGTGGGACTTGGAGGGTGACAGCCACGGGGCCCGAGGGCCCGGACACTGGGGATTAAAAGCAGGTGGGTGTGAGTGTGTGTAAGTGTGTGTGCGTGTGAGTGTGAGTGTGTGTGTGTGAGAGAGTGTGTGTGTGAGTGTGTATGAGAATGTGTGTGTGAGTGTGTATGTGTATGTGCGTGTATGTGTGTGTGTAAGTGTGTGTGCGTGTGTATATGTGTGTGAGTGTGTGTGTGTATGTGTGTGTGTGAGAGACAGAGAGAAGCACGCGCAGGCTGCCAGTGCAGACATGCCCAGGAGTGGGGTGTCCCCTGGTGATGTCAGGCAGACCCAAGGTTGGGTTCTGAGACTTCCTTTAAGAGACGGGGATACCAGGTGTGGACGCACGCTAGCTATAATAGAGCAAATATTTGTTCAGGGAGACCAAGGTCCACCAGCACCACAGAAGTCCCTCGGTGATCTGCACCTGCCACGTGCATACAGAAAGGAGAGCTGAAGTTACCGGTAGGTCTAAACTCTTTATGCCAGTTGTGCTCTCGACTCCGCTCCTTACAGTCTCTGGTGACCACTAAGTAGGTGGTCATTGCAGATGACCCTAGGACCATCAGGGAGCAGAAGAGTTCAGGGGGCCCTTCTCATGTGTTTCTAAATGTGGTCCACAGAATTCTTAGCTCAAGCTGAATCTTGAATTTTATTTGCTTAAACAAAGTACCACAGATGAACATCTTCAAAGAGGAAATTCAAACGCCTTTGACTTTCAAGCAAAGAACAAGGAAACAACAACAACAACAACAACAACAACAACAACAAAAAGCCCAAGGCAGGGCAGGAGCAGTGCGGCTGCGGAGCACGCCTGCCCGTGGGGACCCCCCCTCGGGTCCTGCTCCTGCCTGGAGGGGCCTCTGCCCAGGACTCTCAGCAGCAGGAAGTGACTGAGAGGGAAGCCCTGTGGTGCTCAGCACCGGGCCCTCCAGGAAGGGCTGCCTGCAGTGAATGTGTGGGACTGTCCCGCACACTCCTCCTGGAGCAAGCAGTCGGGCAGGGAGGGAGATTTGAGGAGGAAGCCTTCTTACCTTTGGAGGACATGCATTCCTGTGACTCAGCGTGGCCTCTGGGGGGACCCCTTTKGGATCAAGAGAAGCATTTCTCTCTATCAGATCCCGGATTTTATTGTCCAGCTCCACGCTCTCGCACCTGCCCCGGGGACAAGGGAAAGTCACATGTGACAAGGTCATGAAGAACTCTGTAGGGCTGTGAGTTTGTGAATGCGGTGGAGGTGGCACCGGTGCCTGGTTCCTCTCCAGGGTTTAGGGGAAGCAAACTTGGGCTTAGGAAATTCATGAACTTAGGTGCATTCAAGGGCGTGAGCCTGGCAGGGCCGGGATCAGAGGATCTGAAGCACAGCCTGTCTCCTTACCGCCTCTGAATACCTGCGACTAACCTGAGGACAAATTCCTAAGCCATTTCCAGCTGCCAATTGGAAATGCTTCACATAGCCCAGGAGCACCTGGGAGCTACCTGGAGGAGGACCTGGTCCCACTGCCTCATCCTGGTGAGAACAGAGGGAACCCCCAGCCCTTGGACCCAGGTCCATTTGCCTTCCCTTTGTACCAGGTGGGTGTGAAGGAGGGGTTTCTCACTAAAAGCACAATTCCAGAGCAAYGCGTCTGTCGTGTGGTTTGGTTCCTCTGCTTCTGCTGCCTGCTATTTCTCTGACCCGTGGCAGAGAGCACCTGCTGGAGGATTTCACAGTCTCTCAAAACACCCTGCAGAGGGAAGCCGATGGTGCAGCAGCGGCCGCTTGGTCAGGGGAGCTCCGCAGCCAGGCTGTCAGTGCTACCCACCTCCCTTCCTTGAGCCGCTGGGCATGCTAAACAGCTGGCCCCAGCCTGGCCAGCAAGGTCCTCTCCTGTGGACAGAAGACACCAGAATGAAGCAGGAGGGAAGGGGCAGAGCTGGGAGGTACAAGGTGTCTCCACAATGGCCAGTTCATGACCTCCCTCTAGGGGTGCTGCTCCCTGCCTGGGGCTGTGTGGACCTCCTCAGATCTTTGTAATGGATTCTCTTTCCCTCTTTTGTCATAGAGCTAGTTTTGCTTGGCTTTTTTGTAATTAAAAAAAAAAAACCTACAACTCTAAATAACGAAGCTCAACCTCATATTTGTGCTCCTTGTTCCTGCAGGCTGTGATTCCTGTGCCCATGTCCCGCATCAATCCCACCATCAATTACTGGCTTCTGGTTCTGCCGTCAATCTTCTGTGGCCCAAACGTTGTGCCTGCACAGTGTGGGGCTTGGGTGCACACTGGAGCTTTCCCAGGACCCTCTAAGGAGCATTGTGACATCCCTTTAGTAGGCTCCCCACAACCTCCAGATTCACGAATTCTCCATCCGCAGAACTGGGCTAGAGTGGATGTGAGGCCTCGAGGCAGCTCCTGGTGGCTTCTGACCTGGACTCACCTGCGAGGGGTCCCCATGCTCCTGGTCCCTCCCCCTCTGTGGGGAGTGTGTTGCCCAGCAGTTTTAGACAGGGCCTGAAATGTGGCCCAGACAGCGGCCTGGCGCCTGCTCTCTCCAGCTCCTCTCTTCCAGCTTCCAGCCAGGTGGCCCATCCTGGCTCAGGGAAGGCCCCCGCTGCCCCCAGCGCCTCAGCCTTTGCAGCTGCTTCTGTGGGACTGCTCCCACATCCTGCAGGTCCYGGCCCCGACGTCGCTCTCTGGAAAGGCTGCCGAGCACCTGGAGTGTGGTCCTCAGCCCACCACGACTGCCCCTCGGCTCCATTTGCTTTCTTCTTAGACGTTGTTATGATTCTCACTTCCTATTTACTGTCCCCTTCCCCAACCCCATATAGGTCTTTATTCATTGCTCTGTCCCCTGGCACCCAGTAGGGCTGCCACAGCACCTGTCATTGAGCAGAGAGACCTCAGGTGAGGTTAACTCAGAGCACCCAGATGCYGAGTCCAGTCTGACCCTCAGTGGTGTCAGCAGAAAGGTGGCAAATAGCCTGGAGCTCGGGAGTGGACAGCTGGAGCGCAGACCAGCAGCCCCGAGCCCTGAGCACAGCTTCGGAGTGGACACTGGGGCTCAGCGCGTGCTGCCTGGTGGTGGCTCGCCCTTGTCCCAACCACCTGTGCTCCTCAGTATTCAGCAGAGCCACCACCGAGTGCTGCTTTTGCAAGAACAGCCTCCCCTGCTCCTCACTGTGGGATGTTCCTCATTGCTTTGTTGTGGCAGTGAGCAGGCAGGCCAGCAGTCACCCTGCCGCTCCTCTGGGACAGGAGGGAAGGGTCTGCCTCAGAGCTGCCCTGGCCCTCTGTTTCCAGCATGGGTCAGCACATGGTTCATGATTCAGCCCCCCCCCAGCAGGGGGGCCCTCAAGGGAGAGGTGGGATCCTGGACTTGGCACAGTGTCAGGCTCAGGGTGGTGACCACCATGTCCTTGACCTTGGCCACCACAGGGAGGAACAGTGACAGTGAGGAGGCAGAGCCCCTCACATGGTGGTAGTCGGGGTTTGGAGAGTGGTCTCACCGTGGACCCTGTGGCAGGGGCAGGGTCTGTGGGCTCAGGAACCCCTCTGGAAACCAAGTGGAAGGGTGGGAAGAGGGAGGGCACAGCCCAGGGCCACCCTGCCCAGACTTGCACTGCTCTCCTGCCTTGTGGCACTGCCATGGCCAGTGTCATTGTCACTGAGGAGATGCGCCACAGCCCCTGAGACAGCACGGTGATGCCACAGGCGGCCAGTTCTCCCTGAGAGTCAGACATGGGACCTGGAGTAGCTCCCTTGGCTTCTGTGAGCCCTGCTGGCCTGGTCACCCAGCGAGCGCCAGCCAGGAGTCAGGAAGGCTGGAGAGCCCCACAGCGCCAGCCAGGTGCCAGGCCTGGTGACGGCAGCGGTGGCTCCTGGCTAAGGCTCTGCTGGCACCCAACCTTCTCCCAGAGACTCGGGGAGGCAGGGTCCACATGTCCAGCATACTGCAGGCTGTGCAGAGGGTTAAGTCAACCACAGGACGAAACGTGAAAAACCAGTAGGTTCCCTAACTCACATGGGACTACYGACTGCTCTTCTCTTGACTCACATCAGAAGTGACAACCTGCCTGGTGAACCCAAGGGGCAGCCAGGGAGGACCGGGAAGTGGCCGAGAGGTCTTCAGGTGATCGTGTAGCCCTTGAACTTCGCGATGAGTTCAAAGGTCAACACTAGAGAAGTCTCCAGAGGTTGTCCAATGCTGCACGCCTGTGAATGCCATTGTTTAGCGGGTCCTCCAAGGATTATCTGGTTACTTAAATTTCACCCAGACGTGGTTAACTTGTAGAATCCCATCTGGCAGAAGAGATAATCACATCCTGAAGACAATCATCCCCCTCCACAGACACAACAGGTTGCCACATCTTGGAGCTACTTGAAGACACCCAGTCCCAGCCGAGTCCAGAGGGAGGGAGGGCTCCTCCTGGCCAAGGACAGAGGCCAAGCTGGCAGGGCTTCAGTGGCCAGAGCTCCTCCCCCACGTCCTCCACCCCCACGGCCACACTTCCTCCGCCCACTGCCAGAGCCACATGGATGCTTTGATCCTAGATCCTAAGCCATGTTTTGTTTTGTTTTTAAAGAGGCAGAACAAAGCATATTTTCGAATATTAAACAAGAACAATTGATAGTAGGATCTTCTCTAATGGAGATATTTCCAGATGCTCAAAGACCCGGGATCACGACCAACTCTCATGACCCAGAACTAAAAGGGTTGTCTAAAAGCCTAGGGGAAGTAGCAAGTTCCTGTCTTTAGTTTGTTGTTGCTATGATTTGTACTCTTAAGAATGTCTCCAGCTAGTTCAGAGAGAAACAAACTGCTCGATGAGGAGATCGTGTGTGTGTGTGTGTGTGTGTGTGTGTGTGTGTGTGTGTGAGTTCTGGCGTTTCCTCACTTCAGTAGCAGGAGACATTCACAGGGAGGTCTTGGAAGGGAGAAGAAGAAAGAAGGGTGGTTCAGAGAAGTTTTAAACTGGCACTGTCCCCAGGCAAGGAACATTTCTTTAGTTTTATGTGGTTTAATGATTTAAACAAGTGTCTGGGACTTGTATTTGCACATCTGATGGGAAGCCCAGAGGCTGGACAGAGAGTCCCTGCTGCCCTCTGTCCACCTTCTTGGCCGGATTCCTGCCTATTTCCTCTGTGTCTGTGACATGCCGGGTCCCTGTACTGATGCCCCATGCACAAGCCGAAGCCCCAGGARGACAATGGGGACAGAGGAACCAGGCTGGCACAGGGAGGCGGTGTGCTGCAGGTGACTGCCGGGCTCTGCCAGCTCTCAGGTCCTTCCTTGTGAGGTTGGAAATACTAGGCTGACTCAGTGCCGCCTCTAGAGGGCGCTCTGTGTTCAGTGCAGGTGGAAAGGGTCTGATCCTAAGATTTTCATTTTAATTCTGAGTTCAGAAGGGTAGAGGTGCAGGAGGCTGGAGGAAGGCAGGGAGAGAATAATCGTAGATAATTTAATTATTTAAAAATTTTAAATAATAAATAGTTTTTGTTTTCTTCTTTAATAATATAGACTGCTTCACAAATTCGCATTTTCTCCTTGTGCAGAGACTATGCTAAGCTTCTCTGTGTTGCTCTAATTTTAACAAATGTGCTACCAAGGAGAGCACGATTATTTATTCTTTAATAAATTCTTAAAATTTTGCAATCATTGTTGAGCATAGTTGGCACATGTCTGTAATCCCAGCGACTTGGAAGGCTGAGGTAGAAGGATCACAAGTTCAAGACAAGCCTCAGTAACGTAGCAAAGACCTAGGCAACTTAGTGAGACCCTGTCTAAAAATAAAAAGGGCTGGGGATGTAGCTCAGTGGTAAAGTGACCCTGGGTTCAATCCCTCGTACAAAAAAAAAAAAAAAAAAAAGCAACAATTGTTGGACACTTTCATAATGGACCTACAACTAATAGCTTCCCTCCCCTAGCCACTGAGAAACGCTCAGAGCAGTTCTCAGCAAATACAGAGCAGCCTGCACAGAAGATGAACTGGTCATGACCAATTCAGCATGTTTTGTAACCCCTGCAGCAAGATTAACATGGTCAGGTAAAAGTGGCTCCCGCTCTCTCAGTRGATGGGAGGAGTGAGTTCTGGTGGACTTGGAACACACAGTCAGGGACCAGACAAGGCACCAAGTTGCCAACTGACTAAATCAAAGGCTGGAGCAGTCTGCATC